ACTTCCTGTCCCGCCCCTTGACTTCCAGGGGGCGGGACAGGCGGCGGTGACACAGCATATCTTTAAATCCTTTGACTTTACTGAGACAGTCACAAAGATGACTAAAAGGATTCTGGCTATGTTTGATGTATACTTTATACCTCAGAGAAATCTAGTTTATGAAAGAGCACGTTTCCACCAGAGAATTCAAGATCCAGGAGAAAATGTTGGTTTAAATAAATAAATAAATAAATAAATAAACCAACCACATGCACAAAAAACAGGAGCTCTCTGCATACATTGGCTGAAAACTGTGATTTGGGGACTGCAAAACATGAGACAGAGGCTGGTTACTGGGTTAACAGATAAAACCTTTCACAGCAGGTACAAGTGAAGAGAAATTTAACCCTTGCCACACCTATTCAAATAGCAAAGCAGTCTGAGCTGGTGAGACAGCAAAACCCAAGAGCAACTTGCCCAACTTGAAAAACAAGAAACTAGCTCAGAAGCTGTTAACAGATGCAGCATGAGCGCTAAAAGCTATTACCGTAAGACCCCTGAGGCAAGGAGAGAGAACTCCCAGGCCGAGGCATAAATTCCAGACCCATTCCTTGCTCTTCTGAGTTACAGATCAACACCAAGCTACTGCGTATAGTCCAGCACATCTCCTGATGGGAAGACAACTCAGAACCGCTGTTCTAAGTTTGGAAAAGAATCTCTCTCTAAAATAGCCAGACATGAAGAGAGTAGCCAAACTGGATACAAAGACAGAAGGAGTCTAGAGACATTTTTACAACAGATATCACTCTGTTAGAGAACTGCCAGGTATCAGGGACCAGAACCTGCTAACTGTCCTGCTAGGCAATGAAGGAGCCCAGCTGAACTGCCTTCAAACTCAGTGGCCACAGCCCTGATTGGTTCTTGGTTGAGCAGTCCTGCTTATAAGCTTGACTCCACAGCAGATCTGCATGTGCTCAGTGCATAGCATGCCCACAGCAGCGCTTGCCCTTGTTCCAGTCCTTGCTTCAGCCCGCTTCCAGTCTCTGCTTCTTCTTGTTCCAGCCCTTGTTCCAGTTCTGCTCCAGCTTCTGCTCTCCTCTGGCTTTGACCCCCAGCTCTGCCTCTGGCTTACAACTCTGGTTGGCCCTCTGACTCTGGCATTCAGCTTCCGTTTATCCAATAATGATCCCTAGATTCATCTCTTGCTTACAACTTCTGTTTACCCCCCTGCCCCTGGCTCTGGCATTTGGATTCTGTCCATCCAGTACTGGCCATAGGCTTGTTTCCTGGACTCTTCTCACCCTGGACCCAGCTCCAGCAGGTAGGCCACCGAACTCTCACTTTCACCACTAGGCATGATGGCCCAATCGGCAACAGTTTAAGCAGCCCAGTGCAAAGGCTAGGGACCCATCTCACTGTCATGGACCAACACTTTCCGGACAGATCTGGTAGGGGCCATACAGAGCTTGCAGTCACAGGTGTCCACCTTACAAGCCCAGGCGGCTTCACCGGCAAGCCCAGTTCTTGCTCCCCAGGAGCCAAAGATCCTGCTCCCGGACAAATTTAGTGGCGATCATGGTCAATTCTGAGGTTTCCCAAACCAATGCTGGCTCCTCCTCTTGCTTCACCCCTAATTGGTTCCCACAGATAAGGGCTCATCACTAGTCTGCTCACTGGGGAGGCCATAGCCTAGGCCTCCCCACGGATGGAACAGTCCAGCCCCATCCTGGGCCAGTTGGAGCAGTTCATTTAGGCCACGTTGCCTATCTTCAGTGACCCCCCCCACCACCACACCCAAACCACTGAAGCCATGCTGCAAACGCTACAGCAAGAGTGTCAGTCAGCTGCCCAATACCGTTGCCTCTCCATGGACACTGTGTGGAATGACTCCGTGCCGCGTCATCAGTTTTGGATTAAATGAGGATATAACGGACAAACCAGCACAGGTCAAGCCCCCCTCCCATCTCGATGACCTGATCGACCTATGTATCAGAATTGATGACCGCCTTGCTGAGAGACACCATGAATATGGCACAGCCCCTTGAGCCCAGAGAACGCCCCGGCCTCCCATCCTTCAGCTGCACACCCCACGCCTGCCACAATCCAGCAGACCACTTTATTTGCAAATTATGGGTTCCATTCTCAGTATCACCCCGAAATCCCCCTTGACTTGCCAATGTCCATCACTGCTGACCTCACCGCACACATCCACCAAGTACATCAAGAATTCAGGTACTGATTAGAAGAGACTAGGCCAGCGTACAAGTGCCACACCAACCAACACCATCAGCTGACCTCTAATCACAAGGTAGGGGATAAGATCTGGCAAAACCTGAGATCCATTTGCGAAACTAGACCATAAATATTTGGGGCCATTTGCAATTGTTGAACAACTTAACTAGGTAACCTTTTGATTGCAGCTGCCAGAACCCCTTGAGATCTACCCATGTGCCACATCTCCCTCCTAAAATTTTTCATCAAGAATCCCTTCCCACAATGCACTACTCCTTCCCCTCCACCGATAGCCATACAGGGCCAAGAGGAATACATGGTCCAGCAGATTCTGGACTCCCGTCAAGTCCAGGGAAGACTCTAATATCTGACTGGGAGGCCCAGAGGAGTTTTCATGGGAACCTGTGGAACACATCCAGGCCCTGGACTTCCTGTGCACCTTCCACTGGGCCTACCCCATGAAACCTGGCTCAGGGTCTCCTGGGAGGCAACCCTGAAGGGAGGAGGGTGCTGTCAGGGACCAGACCAGCTAGGAACAGCTGCTGGCCTGCTCCCTGACTGTGTTACTAGGCAACCAACGAGCCCAGCTGTATTGCCTTAGAACTCAGGGGCAATAGCCCCTGATTGGCTGTTGGTTGAGCAGTCCTGCTTATAAGCCTGGCCCCCACAGCAGATCAGCAGATCAACACATACCATGCCCAGAGCTGTGCTTGCCCGTGTTCCAGTCCTTGCTTCAGCCTGCTTCCAGTTCCTGCTCATTTCAGTCTTGCTCCAGCTCTGCTCCAGCCCCTGCTTGCCTCTGGCTTCAGACTTCTGGCTTTAACCCCCAGATCTGCCTCTGGCTCACAACTCTGGTTGATCCTGTGGTTCTGGCATTTGGCTTCTGTCCAGGAATGGCAGAAGGTCCCTAAAAGTGGGGGAGCCACTGGCGTCCAAACCGTGGCCCCAGCCCCCCTACACTACCCCTTCCCCCCCCAAGACCCTGCCCCCTGCTCACTTCTTTCCGCCCCTTCCCCCCCTTCACTCACCCTTACGGGAGGTAAAAAGTGGGAGGGCCATGGCCCCCTAGTCCCCCCTGTTCCAGTGCCCCTGCTTCTGTCACTCTGGTGCCAATTGCTGGTTCTGCCTCTGGCTTATGACTCTGGTTTACTTCCCCTCCTCTCCCAGCTCTGGCATTTGGCTTCTGCCCCTCGACTTGTTTCCTGTATTCCACCCACTCTAGATCTAGTTCCAACCAGTAGGCTCAACTCTTGCTTTCACCACTAGGCGTGACTGCCCACATCCTGGTCAGCAGTACGGTGTCTAGAACCTAGTGATTGAGTTCATGTCAAATTGGACATCTCCAATTTGGGTAAAGAAAAAGAATTCAGCGCCCAGATCATATGTGATTGAGACTGACAGTGGAGAGTTCAACAGCAACTGTCAACGACTACAAAGTATTCTTCAGGAAGATCAATCAACACAGCAAAAACTCTACAAATTGTGGATGCAGAACAAGGCGACAATGACTCAAATTCCAGACCAACTACAGCCAGTCATTGCAACTAATGGACAATCAGATGACCAAGTTGTTACGCATTTGGATCATGTAATTAGAAAACCAGTACAATTCAGAGACACTGAACTTCAAAGACAGTGTGAAAGTGTAACCAGTAAAAGCTGTTATCTGACACTTTATCAACCAGAAAGCTCTATTAACCAGCATTTCTGATATCTCCCAATACAAATCTTCAGTCTAGTAACTGGGACTAGTATACTGCCCAGGAAGTTATACAATTGCACATTCTGAACTCTATTTTTAGGCAAAAGACAAGTAAGCAAGCCGATATCAGGGATTTATTCAAAAAAGCAGCTTCCAGGGTGTGTCTAGGGTCGTTACCGATTCAGCCCAATCTACTACACCTTCTACATCTACAATGATAATTGATGTTGATAATGATGACCCTGAGGCACTGCAAGATTCTGAAGTGCCTTCTGAATCATCAAAGATTAAATTATGTTCAATATAGTTGTAGTGTTAAGTGTACGTTTAGTGATCTGGGTGTATGCCATGCGCTGCCCATAGTGATATGTAGTGTCATAAGATAATCTGTATACACCTAAGTGCTTCAAGAAACCAACCACTCTGCAGTCCAGTACTACTACTGGATTGGCGCGTACCTGTCTACTATTTTATACTTTATTCATTTTATTGTATTCTAATTCTCTGAAAATTGGTATTCCATTAGTAAGTATAACTCTTAGTCAACCGGAATTTTTAACTAACCAGCACCCCCGCCCCATACCTCCAACATGTCGGATAACAAAGCTTTTACTATATTTTGTAAATGATAGAAATGTAGAACTAAAAGGGGGAGATGTAATGGAATGCTGTTCAGCCACTAGGTGGCACTGTGTGCAAAATACCATATTCAAAGTTAACCTTAGCCATACCTGGCAGAGCATTACTAAATCTTATGATGAACACATCTGGTATGTATGAGGAAGCTCTGTGACCAGTCCATATCTGGTACAGAAGAACATGACAGAATCTGATCCTGACAGAGTAGATCAAGACTTGCTTCAAGCAAAAGTCCCAGTCAGATTCTGGCACTGGAGCCCCAGGGGTTCCTCCAAAACCTAGGAAGTTAAGCAGCTGGGGACTTGTATTTCCCTAGTGGCTAGTCCCCACATTTTCCACACACCTGACTCCCTCTCTCACCCCACAGTCAGATGGCTTAGTCTCTTCCTTTCAGAATTAGATCCTGTCAAGCCATCGGCTTGTTGAGTACTGACAGTGCAGGTGGGCGAGTTGTGCACTTCATTCACTGATGGATCTGAAAGAGCTGGCAGCTCAGTTGAGGACAGCTCCTTGTTTCGCCTCAATGCTCAAACACTTTGTGCATTGCAGAGTTTTTCATGAGCTACAAGTCAGGCCTCAACGCTGCCTTGAAGAGCATCGAAGAGGGAAGCAACAGACCCCACCAGTGCCATTTAGCCATGGGTGAAAAGATGAGGGACATCTAAATATCTGCAGACATGTTCTGAGGACTCACCACTGGCTCTCCTTAGTTTCCTCCGTGTGATCCTGAAGCTCTTTGTCACGCGTCTCTGGAAGCAAGAAGCAGAGGATTCCTGCAATCACTGGAGTGCTTCCAAATATCGCCATGGGAATAGCGGGATGGTACTTGTCCAAGAGACTAATCAGAGGGGAGATGATGCCACCCACTCTGGATGACATTGAACACAACCCCACACCAGTCTGCCTGGTAAGAGAGCAAAACATGGAAGGGGTAAACAGCATGCATTAGAAGAAAGTCTGTGCTTATGGGGATGTCTCCAGGGGTTTAGATCCTTGTTCTAGTCGACAGCTTGGGAAAATCCCAGTCCAAGCCTTGATCAGCACCCCACCCGCACCTTCCACAATTGTAGGTAGTGCTAGAGGAGAATTTAGGATCTTTAGCCTTTATAATTTTGGGGGAAATCTCCCATCTTTGTATTATCATTAGAAAAAGCTATAGCATAGATGGGGCTCCAATGTCTGGAGAAAGCTGCTTAAAAGCAACCATAGGTCCTCATTCAGTGAATTCTTGATCACTAAGTGTAATTGATTATTGACCTTTCAGCTAAAAATGAGTGGCTTTAGGAACAGGGCATATTAGTAGCCAAAGAAAGGCATTTGCCAAAGAAAAGTAATTGATGAAACAGAAACCACCCATGGGTAGAGGGGAGAAAAAAGCACCACGTGGATTCTGATTTTAAGGAAAATAGCCAGCTCAGTCCCCATGCTACTAGGCCATGTTGTCTCTCAGGCAGTAAAGGATGCATGTGGTCACCAGGGCCGCCCAGAGGATTCTGGGGCAAAGCCATTTTGGGGGCCCCTTCCATAAAAAAAAGTTGCAATACTATATTCTCGTGGGGGCCCCTGTGGGGCCCGGGGCAAATTGCCCCACTTGCCCCCCACCCCTTCTGGGCGGCCCTGGTGGTCACCCAGTCTGGTATCTTGTCTCAATCCAAAACCATTACTCCAGAGCCTTAACAAGGACCACATCAAAACCTGGCCATTGACCCCTGTCTGTTCTAGAGTTGGGAAACAGGCAGGAATTGTTGTACGGACCTGTAAGCACGGACAGAGCTTCTGATCACAACGATCTAGTGAAGAAAATATTCTTTCAGCAGGCCTTTATCCAAATCCTGTTACCATATTAAAAGCTTGTATTAAACCCAGTTCCTGGGCTAAGGCAGCATGAAAAGTAAGGACACCTCACCTGATGATGGTGGGGAACAGCTCTGCAGAATACACGTAGGAGATAGAGAAAGAGGCCGCGATGGCAAACTTCCCTATCACTGCCAGCGTCGTGACCACCACCGGCAAATCTAGTGGCAAAAGGAGATGCTTTTATACAAAGCTTATATGGGGAGTTTGCTCAGTTTGTGCAGCTCCACATACATCTGCCAGGAAGAAAAGCTATTATACATGTACAGAATATGGTGAGAGCTCCACTAAAGAGCCCACCTCCAATGGGCATCACCATAACCAGGGACAAAGGACGGTTCTGCTCTGAAAAGTGACTCTGTACACATGGCATCTCCACGTTTATTGTACCTCACTGATCAAATGCACTCAGGGTACCAAGTGCAAAGACCTTTGCCCTAACTGCCAGCCCTACAAACTCACCCTGGATTCTGAAAGGTAAACCGAGGTTTTTTCCTTCTGATCACCATAAGCATTAATCAAAGGTGCCACAGACTAGATTACGCCCTCAGTTACACTTGTGTAGCCCCATTGCCTTAAGATTATATGTACTCATTTACCCCACTGTCTTCACATTGCTCCCTCGATCGCACCTGTGCAGCTCCACTACCTTCAGATTAGGCCCTTGGTGAAATCTGCAAAGTGAAGGGAAGAATTTGACCCTGCAATCAAATGTTTGTAATTCCACGGTTTATTTATGAGTCAGATTAGAATCCAGCTCCCACAGCCAAGTTGGATCGGCAGAGCTAACAGCTATGAAATTTTAGTTTGGGAATTGAAGTCAGTAAATACAACTTGAGATGCATACAGGGAGCCGATCCGTGGGTTAAGAAGGAATCAGTTGTACACAGTCACTTGTCAGACCAGAGCCACATTTTACAGAATCCCCAAGGTTTCATAGAATTATAGGACTGGAAGGGACCTGGAGAGGTCATCTAGTCCTGTCCCCTGCACTCATGGCAGGACTAAGTATTAGGACTAAGTATTTCCAGTGCAACGTCAGCCAACTGCCAATTACAGGCAAACCTTTATTAGATGATCAGTTGCAGCAGTTCCCTTAGACAGTTACTTAAGATAATTTACGCTGTAGACTTTCTAGAAGCCAGATAGAGAGGTGCAGTGACTCACACTGGTGCAATCAATCAAGTTCCGCCCGCAGCTGACTTCAACAGAGTTACTCTAGGATTGAATTTATGATGATACTTGATACTTCAGAAGGGGATTTTCAAAAGGTACATATGAGAATTAGACGCTCCCACTTCCAATTGACTTTCAGAAGGAGCGGTGCACAAAACTGCCATTGTGCCTTTGAAAAGCTTTCCTTGAATGTCCTTTAATTGAAAAACCCTGACAGGTAACTAGCCCAGGGGAATTCAGATTTTCTAATCTACCCAGGCAACTGTTTGTCACTACTGAAATCTCTGGCTATGCAATGAACCCCAAGCATTGCTTAAGGATGAAGCAGGAACACAATGTTGTTCAATGGAGCTTGCTTGCAAAAAAGGGGGAATTTTAAAGAGCCAGAGAGAGAAAAAAGTAACACTGAGAAAATTCAGCTGATCATTGGCCAGTCAGGTGCCATCTCCGGAAAAAGTGGCTCAGGCATTGAAAGCAAGTGTGAGGAGCCAATAGAGAGGGCCCCAGTCAGCTGAGCTATGAAAGGAAAGAAAATGGAGGACAAAGGAACGTGTCTGGGACTCGACTGCTCCAGGTACCGGGTAGGTTGGGCTGCACTCCAGGGACTTGCTGTGTACCTTTGGGGATGCGGGTGATGATGAGACACATGGCTCCGCCCAGCAGCAGAAAGAAGCCCTGGCATTTCTTCCTCCCAAACCACTGCAGCAGGAAGATACAGCCGAAGCGAGCTGGTATTTCAACAGCCCCGAACACAAGCTGCGTCAGGTAAATGTCCAAGCCAAAACTCCCCACGTTAAGGCTCAGGCCATAGTACACCAGGCTGTTCACAAACCTGAAAGCAAAGCAGAGCAGAGAGTGTGGTTAGCCTAGATTGGATCCTAGTTTCCATAGGGATGAGAAATACCCACTAGCCACATCTGCACTGGCACTTTCAATTTGTCATTGCTACAGCTGTATAGAGGTTTGGGCTGTGATCTTGGGAGATCTCACAAGGTGAGTAGGGTCAGATGAAAGCTCATTAAGTGACTAGAAAATTTCCATGCACCAAATCTGCACACACAAAAATCCCTTAGTTTTTTAAATAGCTGTTTGTGATGGGGTATACAAACCCCACATTGGGCAACAAGAGGTTAAAGGATTATTTTGGGCCCTGTCAGCCCCACCCCGCCACATCTACAGCAAATGCTCCATCTGCTGGAGCAATTAAAAGACAGGGAAACAGCTCATTTGGGCCGCAGAGCGAGAAGAGAGCAGACCTGTAGCCCACAGCTCCAGTAGTGCAGAGCAGAGGGAAGCCTAAAGTCTGCTGCCTAAAGGGGCCCTCCCTGAGGAAAGGGAGGACCCACCACAGAAACAATCAGAGGGAAGTACCCCTCTTGCCCTGCCTGTGAATCCTGGACATTTGTAATCTCCTCCCCACAACCGCCCGGCCAGTCATGGAGTGCAGCCTTAACCACTAGGCCACGCTTCCCTACCATACCCCAAGTGAGGACCATTACACTGTTATAAAAATGGAGTAATGTTTGGACAACTTACCAGACATAAGCCATAACTAAAGTCACTTTCCTCAGGCGCTTCTTCAGGAAAAGATCCAGAATATTTCCAGACTTAACCTTCTTCTCAGGCGTCAGCTTCAAAATTCACAAGGCAAAAGGGTCAAGACATGAATCCAATTCATACTGAAGACTTTCACCAACGTCAGGGAAGTGAATGGGACCCCAAAAGTCTTCTGGTTATGAAAGGTAGAGCACTGTAGTACACAACATGCTGGATTTACATGACCAAAGTATGTTTTTCCAACTGCAATGTTTTCGTCACGAAGAACATTTTCTGACAAGTGAGTTTTGGGAAAATGTGGTAGAAATGTTGGGTTTCGTGTTTGGCTTTGGTTTTTGTTTGGTTTTTTTGCAATGCGATAAAGAGAAGAAGCACTGAAACATCCAACAAATTCCATGGCATTTGAGCAAACATCTGAAGAACCATTGTATGGCTAGAGAGCCTATGTACAACATGTTTGGACACCATAGATGGACCACAGAATAGGGAGAGCCTGAGAATGGGCTAAAATGTTGTCCTTTTCCCTGATCTGCTTTCTACAATATACAGCCTTGAGTAGAGCCAGCTGGAAGCTGGAATGACTGTTCCATGGTAAGTTCCAAAATTTCAACAACAACAAAAAATGGTTTGAAATGGAATGAAAACTGCAATTTCAGAATCTCCTGTGGATCAGAAATCCCAAAACAACAGTTTCCTTTTGACCTTTTCTAAATGTTTCCCAGGCTCTCCGAGCTGCCCAGCGCCTGGGAGCCAGGTCTCCCAAGGTTTTGGGGCTGCCAAAGAGCTGGGAGCCTAGAAGCCCTCACTCATCATCAGCCAGTCTGATGTGCTGCCCCAGCGCCGGAGACCCGGGAAGCCCCCATTCTATGGCATTGTGCTTGGCAGGCTGTCAAGGAGCTAGGCAGGCAAGCTGGCAGGAAACCAAGCTGGCGTTGAAACCTGCCTGGTTTCTGTCAGAATTCTGTTGAAAATAGACCATTCCTGTGGAATGTTTTGGTTTCTACAAATCAGAATTTTCTGATGGAAAAAAAAACATTTGTGTCCGAAAATTGCCAACAAGGTTCACTACGGAGACATGACTGCAACTCCATATAGGAACTTTGACTATGGTCCACAGATTTCCAGAGCAGAAGGGGAATATTATGATCTTCTACTCTGACCTCCTGTAGGACACAGGCCATAGCGTTTTAGCCAGTAATTCTAGCATGAAGTCCAGGAGTCATGATCAAACTTGAGTGTCTTTTAGAAAGACACCCATATTGATTTAAAGACTTCAAATTATGGAAGAATCCACCACATCCCTTGGTATGATTCCAGTTCTTTGAACTTCAAGCAATACCTCAATAACCACCTGTTTCGTGAAGCATTTGAGCTCTAATGGCCACTTTGTGTAAGTTCTGTCTCATCTTGCGCATTGTCTTTCTTGATCCTTTACTTTTGATAGACAGTAAGCCCTTTGTGTCCGGCACTGATTTTGTGTCCAGCTGCAACAGTGACCCACGTAAGATTTATGTGCTATATCTGCATAATTCAAATTATTCTTATTAATCATCTGCTGGAGTTGCAACAAACCCATGGGCACAAATAGGCACTGCAGGCCCCACTGAACTGTGCACTTCCTGATTGAAGGACAGAATCCAGGATTTCAGAAACATAGCCCTCAATCATATGAGCTAAAGGCGAATTCTTTCCATTAGCCGTCACTTGTGATTGAGGATTTCATCCTTTGTCAGCCAACCACTAGAGGGCAACAGTCCTGTGCACTTGACCAAGCTTAACGCTGTATCCAGCAAATGACAAAGTCACACGGCTGCACACTAGTGGGACCATGGCAGCTCATACCCAAAATAAAATCAGGTGATATAAATACAATGACAGTTTTGAATCTGGGAGAAGTTAAAAATCCTTCTTGCGTTTAGGATTAAAATGTAAAAGTGCGAGGGGGGGGGGTTTACGGAGAAGTTCATCGTTTGCGTACATCTCCATACTGTGCCCTGGCATAGAATGCCCTCTCTGGATTGGTCTGCAAAGGCCACTCCCTCTCCTCATTAAGACCCACCCTCTGCCATGGCATCTACATGGAATCATCCAGTTATTAATGGCTTGAAGGCCAGGTGGGGATAGCTAACATTCACTTTATTTACAATAATCAAAACAAAGTGCAAATGTAGGTATAAAGCCCCCACCCTCATTTGGCCAACACAAGGAATTGAACTCGGGACCTCCAGAACTAAAAGCATGAGCTACTACAGCTTGAACTAAAGATCCAGCCTTTTTACCTACTCATGAGACAGGTTCATATTCTCTGTGGATTGGTCACAGCTTGCTGACACTAACCAATGGGCTATGTATATATGCATATAAAACTTGTACATTTGTATCCCTATTCCCCTCCTTCAGCATGTGATTTGTTTTATTAGATAGTAAGCTCTTGGGGGAGGGACCATGCGTTTGGACAGCACCTAGCAGAAGAACAGGGCCTGATCTTAATCAGGGTTTCTTGGTGCTACGGAAACAATAACATGAAAGAAAATACAACATATAAGTTACATTCTCCGAGGGGCTACGATCAATAAAGGAATAAAAATGGACACAGTTCTACCTCCAGCAAAATGACATGAATGAGTCATTGCCATTTTATTTACTGTTCCTTTCTGTTGTTTCAACAGAAGGTCCTGGGTCCTTTGATATCACACATGCATGGTTTGGCTGGTGACCATGGTGTTCAACATGGCCAGCCATGAATTTGGCAATGGAAGGGGAATTCTGCATCACTGTGCAATGCAGAATTTGCACAGAACTAATGTTCTGCTCAGAATTTCATTTCCCCCCCACAATTGGTGCTGCAGAGCTGTTGGCTGCCCAAGGACTGCTGGACCCAACAGAGTCTGGCTCTCCAGCTCGCAAATACAGGGCACTGGGGGGGGGGGGAGGAGGGGAAGGAGGAGCTGGAGGGTTCTGGGAAGCTGCAGTTCTCAGCATGTTCTGAAGGAAGGAGGAGGCATGCAGGAAACTCTGTATTCTCTGGATCCCTGGGGGGTGGGGGGGTTGTGGGTGTCTGGGGG